CTTCCTTCCATTTCCAGATTGCGAGACCTAGTATTAATCCCTGAATATCCACCTTTGAGAATGTTCTTTACTCTGTAAACATAGGAACATTGCATGAATCTTAGCATTATCAATAAGGATATTATCCAATTTAACAGCAAACATCCTAATATCCTCTACATATACGAATCTTGCGAAACCAAAAAAGTTTTCCAATTTTATTTCTCTTATGAGGGATGACCACTTCCTTCAAGTTAACAAAAGTTCCAAAGAGAGTGAAAATCTCCTTTTGCCTTAACTCGGTCTGGTATCTCAAAGAAATAGATCGAAAAAACCCTTCTACTCCAACGTTGTCAATCTTTCCACGTATAGGATATGTATCCCATCTTTGACTCACCTACTTTTTGAATCCTTTTCTGGAGACTCTCTTCCACTCCATAACTAGACTATAATTAGAAAAAATAAGTTACCAAGTTAGAGAGAGATAGGAGACTCTCTATATAATACTTCTTTTTCTTTTTTATTAGTTTAACTTTTTTATATAATTAATTCTTTAAAATTTATATAAAAAATAAATTAAAATAATTTAATTCGAAAGTATTAATTTATGTCATTTATGTTATTTTTAATAATATTAAGTTATGTTATTTTTAATAATAATTTAATTATAAATTAAAAAATGACGTAGAATAAAATTTGGTCAATGTGACATTGACACATCGTTGAAATATGATATCAATTTTAAAGGGGATTAAAATGGTAATAAAAAATTATAAAATAGATAATCACTCGAATTTTAAAATAAAAAAATCAAAACCAAAAAGAAGAATCTCCTTTACATATACGAATCTTGCGAAACCAAAAAAGTTTTCCAATTTTATTTCTCTTACGAGGGATGACCACTTCCTTCAAGTTAACAAAAGTTCCAAAGAGAGTGAAAATCTCCTTTTGCCTTAACTCGGTCTGGTATCTCAAAGAAATAGATCGAAAAAACCCTTCTACTCCAACGTTGTCAAACTTTCCACGTATAGGATATGTATCCCATCTTTGACTCACCTACTTTTTGAATCCTTTTCTGGAGACTCTCTTCCACTCCATAACTAGACTATAATTAGAAAAAATAAGTTACCAAGTTAGAGAGAGATAGGAGACTCTCTATATAATACTTCTTTTTCTTTTTTATTAGTTTAACTTTTTTATATAATTAATTCTTTAAAATTTATATAAAAAATAAATTAAAATAATTTAATTCGAAAGTATTAGTTTATGTCATTTATGTTATTTTTAATAATATTAAGTTATGTTAGTTTTAATAATAATTTAATTATAAATTAAAAAATGATGTAGAATAAAATTTGGTCAATGTGACATTGACACATCGTTGAAATATGATATCAATTTTAAAGGGGATTAAAATGGTAATAAAAAATTATAAAATAGATAATCACTCGAATTTTAAAATAAAAAAATCAAAACCAAAAAGAAGAATCTCCTTTACATATACGAATCTTGCGAAACCAAAAAAGTTTTTCAATTTTATTTCTCTTATGAGGGATGACCACTTCCTTCAAGTTAACAAAAGTTCCAAAGAGAGTGAAAATCTCCTTTTGCCTTAACTCGGTCTGGTATCTCAAAGAAATAGATCGAAAAAAACCCTTCTACTCCAACGTTGTCAATCTTTCCACGTATAGGATATGTATCCCATCTTTGACTCACCTACTTTTTGAATCCTTTTCTGGAGACTCTCTTCCACTCCATAACTAGACTATAATTAGAAAAAATAAGTTACCAAGTTAGAGAGAGATAGGAGACTCTCTATATAATACTTCTTTTTCTTTTTTATTAGTTTAACTTTTTTATATAATTAATTCTTTAAAATTTATATAAAAAATAAATTAAAATAATTTAATTCGAAAGTATTAATTTATGTCATTTATGTTATTTTTAATAATATTAAGTTATGTTATTTTTAATAATAATTTAATTATAAATTAAAAAATGACGTAGAATAAAATTTGGTCAATGTGACATTGACACATCGTTGAAATACGATATCAATTTTAAAGGGGATTAAAATGGTAATAAAAAATTATAAAATAGATAATCACTCGAATTTTAAAATAAAAAAATCAAAACCAAAAAGAAGAATAAAAGTTGCAATTTATCTGTAAATATAAAGAAGGGAATCTCAAAATTAATAATGAAAAGTGGTTAAAAACAAATCAATAGTATCAAATTTTCAATTAAAAAATTGAGTGAAGATTAATTTTAGTTTCTCAGAAAAATTGGAGAATCTAAATTAATCCCTAAAAAAAAAAGACTGTATTAAATTCTTTTCAAAATTTAAGTGAGTTATATTAGTCTCTCTATTAATATTTTTCTCAAATCGATTCTTTTTCCGTCTTTTGAACCGTGACTGAATTTAACCAAGTCATCTGTATTATTTTTATTTCCAATTATTTTTAAATTCACATAATATTTATATTTTTAATTTTTTTAATTTTATTTTGTTATAAAAAAGGCTGGAAAAAAATAAAAATTTTGCACCAAGTAAGTGTTAAACCAATGACCCCTTAGTTAGTGGACATCTATCTCTACCACTAAGCCAACATATTTTTTAAGTTTTAAATTACAAATAAGATTTATATCAACACAATTTCTTATTATTTTTTAATTATTAGCGATACTTAACACATACTTAACACAGTTTGATCCTTAATAGAAAATAAACTATTTATTCCCTTACAAAATGTAATTAGATTTTGATCCCTAACAAAAACATACGCTATTTAATACCTTAAAAAATACACCACTTAAAAATACATATAAGTTCAATCATATATTATAGTAACATTACTATCACATTGAAATCAAGAAACAAAAATTATCCATTACCATCACATACATTATAGATGTATCATCGACTTCAAAATATTACAGTTCCATCAAATTTCAAAACATTGTACAAACAAATAGAACTTAAAAATCTAAATCATCTAGTATCACCAAAATAAACAAAACAAATAAAGTTTCATGAAATTGTGATGAACATTGTACTAACTATTAAAACTTAAAAATCAAAAGAACATTTGATAATTCCATAAAATCCAAAAGACAAACTAAATAAAGTAGAAGAAAATTTTGACTTTGAACCAATATTTTAAAAACCGGATTGAAAATCGAACCAGGGAAACTTGCGGTTTAAAGTTCAATTGGTTCATTAATCGATTAAATCTACGGTTGAATCGTTTATTAAATAAACTAATAATATGAAACTAAAATTTATAGATATGTCACACATAATTATATGTTCACAACTTAATAAAATAAATATTTCAAAAATCAATTACAAATTTAATACAACAGTATCGTTAATACATAACATAACATAGTTCTACACTTTATTTCAACCATCATTTAAGAATATTTTGACCAAACTAAAAAATTACAATAAAATAAATTAAACAAATTAAAATTAAAATTAAAATAATAAAATATAATAACTAAAATAAAATTCAAATAATTAAGAATACCTAAATTAAATAAGATAGAATACCAAAATATAAATAATACAATATACTTTATTAAACAATAAAAAAAATCAAATTTGAGTTAAACTACGACAAACAAGTCTTAATTGATAACAACAAACAGTATTAATTTAAACGACAATCAATATTGAATTGGACATCGTGAGTATGTTTGAAAGAAACGTCATGATGATGATGATGATGGAGTGTGGTTGAAAGAAAAACTATATTGGAGTGACAAAACTTAAAAGTTTGTATGTTTGTAAAAAACACACATAATTCTTTTATTTATTGGGGAATGTATATTAAGTTTGATATTAACATATTAAAATTAAAATAAAAAATAAAAAATGTCAATTTGATACATTTTTTTTTAACCAGACGGTTTTACAAAACCAGCTCTAATTTTTTGTTTCGAATGATTTTAGACGGTTCAATTAGGTTTTTTCCGATTTTATCTCGATTTTGACCCACTAGCCGTTTTGAAAGGTTGATCCAACTGAATTCATCTTCGGTTTCCGGTCCAGCGTTTGAACCAGACGGTTTGATCCGGTTTATAAAACATTGCTTTGAACTTCTCTCACCATATGTGACTAAATAAAGCAAAAATAATACACATGGGAAGTCCAGACACGATTTAAAAGTAGGGAAAAAATCAATTTAAAAAAAATATTATTAGAGAGATTAACACACCTAAGTTAATTTTGCAAAAGATTTAATAGAGATTTTTTTTTATGGATTAATTTAGACTCTTCAATTTTTTTTAAAGACTAAAATGGGTCTTCATTCTAATTAAAAAATAATAAGAAAATGTCTTGATATAAGTGTTATTTATAATTTAAAACATAAAAAATATGTTGGTTTAATGGTAGAGATTGATGCCTCCTAAATAAGGGGTTCTTGGTTTAACCCTTGTTTGATACAAAATTTTGATTTTTTTTTGGTCTTTTATATAACTAAATAAAATTAAAATAAATTAAAAATATGAATATTATTACATGAATTTAAAAATAATTGAAAATAAAAATAATAAGTCCATATAATTAATAGAGAGACTAAGTTAAATTTTATAAATATTTAATAGAGATTAATTTACACTCTCTAATTTTTGTGAGAACCTAAAATGAGTCTTTCACTCTCAAATATTCAAAGTAAAATAAATATTCACATTTACTCCGACACATTTTTTTAATAAAAAAATTACATATTAAAAAACAATAAAAGAAAATCTAAATCATTTATTTCTCCTCATGAATAACGCCTATAAATAAATGCATATAATAAAATCTTAGTCTTACCCATCTCTCTAGTTTACAACCTTTTCACGTGTCTCTCCCTTTCACACTCGTGTTCTCTTCTGTCTTCGTTTCTTCCCTCTGTTTTTTCCTAACAAAACCATTTCAACAGGGGCGGTGGTTAATGTTTCTCTGTTGTCTTGTCTTTACGTAAAACTCTCACTTTGTTTGAAACTTCGAGGCGAAAAAATAAATAATGGAAGGAAGAAAGCAATTGGTTTCTTCTTCATCATCTTCATCGTCTTCTTTCACTTCTGAGCTCTTTGGTTCCATTGATTTTCATCCTTCCTCTGCTTCTTCTGGAATTTTCGATTCCATTTTTTCTCCTTCTTCTAAGGTTTTTGTTTTTTCATTTTTCATCTCTTTAATATTATTGTTATTAATTTATTATTCAAAAGTTTCATTAACGTTATAATTATTTGTATTGATTTTGAGATTTGTGATGATTCAGGTGTTTGGGAGAGAGTCTCTGCATTCTGCACTGAATGGAAAAACTTCTACTGAGGGATCAAACTCCAAAATTGCTACTCAAGGTTCGAATGCTCTGTTTTTATGCTCTATTTAATAATGGAATTATACTATTATAACTTTTGATTAATTCATGAAGAAACAAATACTAGTGTTTTTTTAGTTCCGGGATTAAACAGTCCTTCTCTCTGGCTCGAGTAATTAGTCTCTGCACTTACGCGTTGTAGTGTTTTAAGTGGTTATTAATGCTATTTTGGTTGTCTTATTCTTGTTTGCAATGCAGATTATATGAGTAAGGGAAGTGAGGGTGAAACTGAGAACAAAAAAAGTAAAGATATGAGTTATCTTTATCAAGAACAAATTCAACCATGTCAGCTTAGTTCATCAATCTATTATGGTGGCCAAGATGTATACTTTCATCCTCAGAGTACGCGTGGTTCGGAATCGAACACTATGGTGATTACATTTATCATTGTCTATATTTAATATATCATCAGTGTAGATTGTGTTTGAAAAAGCACTATTCAGAATAAAAATGTAACATTTTTAATGGAATAATGATACTTTTTAATACTGTTAGGAATGGTTAACTTGATTTTTTTCTTCTTTATCAGTACAAGAAAGATGGTGGAGAAGATGATTCAGGAAGTGCCTCAAGAGGAAACTGGTGGCAAGGTATACAATATATCTGATAGTTTATGGCATAAACATTGCTGTTCACCTCTATCTCAGAAATTTCTCACCACTTTTTCTGTACTGTAACTTTCTTTCAATAGGATCTCTCTATTATTAAAAGATCACACACTTGCCAAGGGAAACATGCTCCTCAAGGTATATGAATTTCTCACTAATTTACGGATTTGAATTTGTTTGTGTCAGTGTCAGACACCGTCACTGCCGTTTGTGTCTGGTGTCCGTGTCCGTGTACGTGTCTGTACTAATATTAAGTTACATGTATAATTGCAGGTAAATAGGAAGATAGTGTGACATGACAGTGTTGTCCATCTTTTGTGACATGGATACTCTAGTGACAAAGTTGTGGATGTCTAGTTACTTTCTTCATCCAAACAACAGAATCACAATATAAACCTATAGTTCAATATTTCTATACAGAATAACATTACTTAGTGATGGTAATGTATAAGTTGTAGATGGTATAGAATATGCCATAGCTTTTAAATTATGAAACTCTATTTTAGTGGTATGATTTTCCATTATATGTAATGTGACTCATCTATGAACAATGTGATATGCATGTGTTTTTGTTTCTGTACATGCTTAATCTATCTATAGTTTATTCCATGGTTGTAGATTCTTTGGCCATATTTGGCTACACATTCAGAGGTTGTAGATGATGCAGTACTAGTTAAGAATAATGAAATATTCTTGAAAGAGTGTCAAAAGTTTCACATTCATGAACCAAAGTTTATTACACTCAACAAATTTCCCACACAATGCTACTATAAGTTAAAAAAAACTTTCTTAGATAAAGTGTGGTCCATACTCTATGAAGCATAATAATCTAGAAACATGTAGAAACAGTTGGTTAACTGGTACTACTATGTCCACTCAATTTCTTATCCTAGTAGTAGTTTCAAGAGTTTGAGCCTATGTTTATATTTACTATGTCCAAAACATCATATGTCTCACCTATATCCTTATCCATCAATGGTGGGACAAGTTATGGAGTAGTTGGTGTGTTTGGTTTGGTTGTTGAGATTTTCTTGCTTGTTTTTCTTTTTTTGGTAAATTGTTAAAACATCTTACTGGCTATAGGGCATTGGAATTCCAATATTCTTCTTTTTGAAGTAAAAGTTTATGGACTAAATCACACCATTTTCAATATATTTTTGAAGACGTGCCTAGAATGTCAAGATACAAGAATCCAAATAAAAGAGGCAATGGTAGTCTGAACAAACAACCAATCATTATATCAACATAAAAACTCAATACAAATAAGCGGATGAATTTACTACAATTTAACATCATAATTAAAGCTCTTTTTCTTAGTCTTGAGCCACCACTATACCAGAACTTTAATTTCCCAAGTGAATAATTTCTAACGCCACCTCCACCACTCCTCCTCTATCCCCCCACCACAACCTACCCATACTAATATATTTTTGTAAAAAAAGGTGTCTGACCAATTTTACAATTTAGTACTAATGATGCGTCTTCCAACCAAGATTATGAGACATTGATTTCCACCACCATACTTTTATAGAAATTCACTTTTAATCCCTAAATAAGCTCAAATAGAATAAGAAGGACCTTCAAAGTTTGACTATTCCCCAATGTTTCTCATACACTAACAATATATCATCTGCAAATTAAATTAAAGATGAGAGTTGCAGAAATTCGAATCAGACCCTACACATGATAACTAGAATAAACACCAATGTTAACAATTGCATTCATCATAATATGCAAGCCTTCCTCTTTTAACAACAATATAAAAAGAGATAATGAATCCTCTTGCTTGATACCCCTCTAAAAACGAAACTCATCAATTGAACTGACATTAGCCAAAACTGATGTCGTCGCAAAACTAAAACATTTTGAAATCCAACCTTACCACTTAGAGGGAAACTGCATCTTAAGCATCATTTCATCTAAATAATCTCATTCTACATAGTCATAAGTTTTTTTTTCTTTCAAATTCGATATTAAACAAGTGTCTACAAAAATGAAGTATCCGATAAGAAGTGTGAGAAAGCTATCGCCGACGTGTTTGAGTGAATAACATTGTAAAACTATAAGGATTTTATCGTAAAGTTATATGACTATTCACACGCACACAAATAAATTTTCAAACATATATTTCTCAAGAAAACACTTCTAAAAATTCCTTGAAGTCGTGTCAAACAAGTTAGGATTTGTCAAAAAAGTCATAGGCAAAATTTTGATCTTGCCAATCAATTGACACTTATGTCCAATTGATCGGACTAGTTGAAAAATGTGCTCTAATCCATTAAGACAATGCCTTAATGAATAGTAACAACAATATATTTTCTTACCTTTTTGAATTTATTAATAAATTAATTTAGGTCTACCAATCGAATTTCAATCGATTGGCTCATCAGTATTGACCATAAAAAAATTTCTATTTTGTGTCAACCTCTAGCCTATAAATAGAGGTCAATTCTCATATATTTTAACATTTAGAAAAGTGAGCTATCATTCGTCACATCTCTCAAAAAATATTTTTATATACTTTCTCTTACTGTTGTTTCGTTGTAGCGCTTTCAAGAAATCCGTCTTACAAGTGAGAGAATTGTAATTCTGAAAGGGTAGATTTCTAAGTTCACCAATGATGTTTTGTTTTTACCTTGGTTGAACAATTCCTCCATTTATAGATTATTTTTTTTATGTTCGAAAGTTCAGCATATTCAAAAGCTTTCAAAGGTTTGAGATCATTCTGGTGTTAAAATCTCACATATTCCTCGGTTAGTCTGATATAAAATCAGAGTTCAGTTCAAACTCAGCCCGATGTTAAAAGTTTGTTTCGATTTGAGATCTGTCTGGTGGTAAAATATCATAGGTTCTTGGTTAGCCTAGTATAAAACTAAGTTTCAATTCGTGAGCTCAACTTGGTGTTAAAAGCTCTTTCAAGTTCAAGATCAGCCTATGCAAAAATTTTGTTTGAAGTTTGAAGGCTATCTGCTACAAGTTTAAAACTCTTAAGTTTATTTGATACTCACAAGATCAAATCTTGGGGATATGACTAAGTCGTTTTTTTACTGAACTTGTATAATTTATGGTGTTCTTCTCTCTTCCGTTAAACTCTTTATATTTCCGCATTCTACCTTCTGCAATATTATTTTCCACTACTCATTTTGAAAACTCTTTTAAAATATTTTCAAACTCTAATTTTGATCCAATTTGTTTTTCATATTTATGTTTTTCTGAAACGCACAATTCACTCTCCTCTTGTTTGTGAAGTCATGTGTCCAACAAGTGGCATCACAACCTAACTCCTGTTTAAGGACTAATCATCTCAGGAGGAAGATGACTTCCAACACTCATTTTAAGGGATCTTTTCTAAATATACCACAACCTTTTAATAGTAGTAGTTTTGAAATATGACAAGCTAGGTTTAGAATCTTTATTCAAAGTATTAATTATCAATTATGGGAAACTATAATCAACGGCCCGTTTATACCTACTTACCAAATAAATGGAGAAGTAGTAGATAAACCTAATTCCCTTTGGACTAAAGAAGAAAAAAGAAAGTTTGAAATAAATTTCAAAACCAAAAGTTTTTTATGATTACAATTGCAATACCGTTGTTAGTTGGAAATTTGATTAAGTATATTAAGCAAAAGAAATATTTTTGAGATGTTTTGGAATTCGACAGGGGTATCATTGAAGATTTCTAGTCGAAATGATTCTTTGTAAGAGGAATACGCTAGGTTAAATCTTAGAAATATTTCTAAGTTTAGATTGCAACTTTGACGGAAGAAATACTGAGGTTGCGTTCGATGAAGATTTTGAATTTTGAATAAGGATGATAACTGTATTTTTTTCCTTATCCGTTTCTTAAAAATGACGCGTGTAAAGTTGTGGCTAATTGAAGACATGCAAAGCGAAACGTGTCATTTTCTAGAGAAAAGTTTCTCATCGTCGAAAGCCACATTTCTACCAAAAGTGGAAAGATAGGGTGAGGACACAACAAGTTAACGTTAATGATGTCAAATAACGGTATTTAATAAACTTTTATTTTTCTCAATCCATGATTCACAACACTAGCTAACCAACTTCATTCAAAATTGACAACTAATATCATATATCCACTTCCTATTACCCTATCAATTTCCGTTAGTTAAAACATATGAGCAAGGAGAAACTTCTTTTGGAACACCATTTCTTGGTCAATAACTTGCCAGCTAAAAATGTACAGAACAATCTAAGCCCTAAAAACAAAATTTATTACTGTCAACTTTAACCACTTAAGCCAAACCATTAGCAAAACAGCAAAAAGATTACTATTGACTACATAAAAGCTAGTTCGAGTTGATAGAAATGCTCATAATAGAATGAAATGGAATTAAACTATATGATACCATTTCTAAAATTTGGATATTTAAAAATATGATGAAATCAAACGAAATAAAAAATCAACTAGAATTTCATCCAATACTCCTTTTTACGAGCAGATATTAAATTTCTCGTCCATTCTATAAGATATCCAAATAATTGAAAGGTAACACCATTTTACTCTAATTATTTCCATACCATTCCATATATCCAGCAACACAGTCTTAACTAAACTAAATAATAAAGTTAAAAAAAAACAAAAAAAACCAATGTAACAAGCATTATACCTTCTCCTGCTGAAAATCAGAACCTTCTACTTTGACAGAAACCACAGATTCATGCACTGGCACCTGAAAAAGAACCATAATTTCTGACCACTGCATCAACAACATCAACTAGAGCCTTCATCTCAGGAGTAGTAGTAAAATACTTTGAAGACATAATTTTGTCCAACTTCTCCCTCAAACCAACATCTATAAAAACAAAGGTTAAACAACAATGAAAAAAATTATTTTCAAAAACATAAACCCTACATGTAACATCAACATTGGGGTCAATTGGTTGCTGAGCCCTAGAAACCCATAAATTAGCATGCTCAATGCATCTCCAAAGCGTGTTCTTATGCGAAAAGCTTGAATCAGAAGGCCGAGAAATCAACAACCTAAACAACGTAGAGATCGAGTCCAAATCCTTTTCCCTAAGCAGATCGGTTGCATCATCTGTAACATAATTATAAGTCAAGAAACATCCACGCTC